AAGCTTAATGTCTAAGGGGCCAACTCTAATCAGAAAAGGTAGCACAGAGAGCCCTTTTAGCTACGTTGCTTGCACATGGGACAGAGAATAGCTATAAAAAATGAATTTAGGGAATTACCTGAATCTGCCCTTTTTACTCCCCACTAACAGGTTAAATAAGATCTTACTTCTCAAATCTTAGTTTCCCCTCCTTGTTAAATACAGTTTTAATTCTCATTTTTTTTGATGACGTTTTAAATGGATGCTAGCTGTGTCTTAGCTGCTTTGAAGGTTTGATTTTTTCCTGCAATAAAATATGAAACAAACTTTTTTGTGGAATCAAATTAGTTTCTTAGAGTTGTAGATTTATCAGAGACATTCTTGACATAAAACCTAGTTTTGCGGCTGGGCGAGGTGGCTCAAGCCTGTAATCCCAGCACTTTGGGAGGCCGAGGCGGGTGGATTACGAGAGATCGAGACCATCCTGGTCAATGTGGTGAAACCCGTCTCTACTAAAAATACAAAAAATTAGCTGGGCATGGTGGTGCATGCCTGTAATCCCAGCTACTCAGGAGGCTGAGGCGGGAGAATTGCCTGACCCAGGAGACAGAGGTTGCGGTGAGCCGAGATCACGCCATTGCACTCCAGCCTGGGTAACAAGAGTGAAACTCCATCTCAAAAAAAAAAAAAGTCAAAACCTAGTTTTGCCCTGCCTTAAAACTACCAGTTAACTATAGTGTAAATATGTGCCAGAAATTGAACAGGGATGGGAAGGGAGTCTAAAATGTTATTTAGCTTAACATAACTTAGAATTTTAACTGAGTTATGGTTTCCAAATTCCTGATGGAAGAATTTAGTATTTTACATTGAGTATAATTTAGATTGATAATTGCTAAATTTTAAATAAAGGTTTTATTAGATTAATAAAGGTTTTATTAGATTATAGCTTAAAATAATCAGACCTGTCTCCTGACAAGTTATAGGACAGTCAGTAGCATACAATAAGTGAAAGGCCAAGGAAGTATAACCAGAAGTATATTTTGCTAATGTGAGGAAATTTTGGATAACTAATGTGACTAGCTATAAGACTTGGGGTTTCACTTTGGCAAATAGAAACACCTCACTGATATTCCGTGGCTTAGGGGAAAAAATGTTATTTATCTTTGTAAAAATTGCCTTTTGGTGTTGTTTCCTTTTTCTTCAAAAGGTAGGAATTTCATTACTGTTACTTATTAAATAGATAAGACATTTCAGGAACAAAGTGGCTTAAATTATCTGTTGAATCGTTTATGTTAAAAAGAGAAAATAATTATTGTTTTTCTGGGATTTTTTTTTTTTTTTAACTCATCTAAAAGGAAGTCGTAACATCCAAATTGCTAGGATCTTTTGACAAAACTAGCAGTGTGTTTTCTTTGGTCTTTATCCCCCTGCCCCTGTAACTTGGAAAAAGATCTTACTGATTGTAACTAATAAGTGGTCGTAACTACAATTTTGTGCACTTGGTAAATGGTTTAGAAAATTTTGATAAGCAAAAAAAAAAATTAATGATTCAAAAGTAGGGGAGTCAAAAAAAAAGAAAAAGAAAATTTTGGTAATCATTAAGTGCTTCTTTGGAGAGAATGAGAAAGGATTATGTTATGAGACAGGCTACTGATGATGAAAAGAACAGTGGTACTAGGCATGGTAAATGAGAATAAGAAAAGCAAGATCAGTAAGAGGCTATGGAGCATGATTGCTGTCTCTGTGTATCCTTTTTCTTTTTAGAGGCCTAAAAGATTTCAGAAATAGTACTGATGCCTTTTATGCCTGGATTCTAAATATTGACCATAATTCTTTTTTTTTTTTTAAGACAGAATAATTGGCAGTTAGAATTTTTATAAATTTTATCAAGAGAATCAAATTGATAGTGTTATTAATATTGTTACTAACAGGAAACTTACTTGCTAAGTTTAAAAAGCCAAATATCATGCAGGTAATTTCTTTATTCAACTATGTTAAATCAAGATGCTTCCTAGAAGTAATCTTTGAAAGTGGGTACACAGGAAGATAAAGAATATGGCTTTGTTAACCTCTGATTCTTACTAGAATGATAAAATATATGCCCATCTGCAGAACCAGTAAAAGATTTTGTAAAACATATAAAATTTTTTATTTTTTCAATATCATACCCAAATATTTTGAAAAGGATCTTTTTCTTAACTATTAACCCTACTTATTATTTATTGTTAAGTAGTCCTATTAATATAGTGATATCAGAAAAGCAGTATTAATGTGTGCTACCATCTGTGTGCAGCTGGAGTCTTTTCTTGTTTTTAATAGACTTTCCTTTTTAGTGGTTTTAGGCAAACAGCAAAATTGAGCCATAGTCCTTTTTAATACTGATCAAACATCGTGATAATGTTTGTTGAGCAATCTATTTCTACTTTTAATTCCAGTGTATGTACAATATGTATTTTGCAAAAAATTTTATAATTTTTTTCAAAGTATTACCATTTCTATTAATATAATATATATAGTTTCATTATGAAAGAATTTACTAATTAGGTAACTGAAGTGAAACATGAAAAAACAATGGGTTTTCACTGAAGCATTAACAGAAGGCATTTTTTGAAATCTTTTTCATGTCCTGAGAATAGGAGTGTCAATGTGTATCTTGTGATTTGTTATTCTGTCTTTACTTCTTTAGGATTGAAAACTTTTATTTCTATATTTCACATTTTGGCAGCTTCAAACAGGATGAGAATTTTTTAGGTCTATTTTGAGAAAGCTGTGACACAAATGTTGGACATACACGTATGCCAAAAATGTGTATAAATTGTTGGAGCTTCAAGGAGACATTATAGACAGCATTTGTATACTTCTCTTTATTGTTTTTAAAGTAACTTCCATCCTAATTGATGCATCAGTTGCTACAGAACATGACTTGCTTATAAGTTCAAAAGTATGTGATAATATTAACATTCACTTTTGGGTAAAATCATAGAACCCTTCAGTAACAAATTTCTGATTTTAAAATCAAAATTTATCATGCCTCATTTTTCTCCACTGTTAAAACTGACGAGTGTTTGAACTGGCGCTTTATATTCTTGGGAGGAAGGGTAGATATTGTCTTAGGTTGGGCTGCAATGAAAGAATCCAAGACCACAAAGCTTGCATTTTAGATTTCAGTAAAATTGTTTGCTTCATGTCATGTCAGCATTAAGAAAACTTAAAATTTTGTTATATTTTGCACTTTCAGAAAGTTCTCTTGAATTAATATACTCAAACTGCATATTGATATTTAAATTAAGGAAAAATTCCTATTTGTATTTTGTTTTTCTGTTTCCTTTTTTTTCTTTTGCTTCCTACTGAAGTGTTTGCATTTTAATATACTGTCAACTAGAGCCTTCATGTTTAATCGAATGGCTTTGGCATGCATTAGTGGTATTCTAAGAATGTATTTAGTGTTTTTGGTGGAAGTATGTGATATATTTTTAAAACTTTGTTATGGAAAACTTTAAACATTTATGAAGTGGATAGAATCAGGTAATGAACCCTAATCTCTTGTCTTCACTGATTTAATATCATGTCTAGTCTGTTTTATTTTATTTATTTTTTATTTTTGGGTGGAATTTTGCTCTTGTTGCCCAGGTTGGAGTGCAGTGGTGCGATCTCAGCTCACTGCTACCTCTACCTCATGGGTTCTGGCAATTCTCCTGCCTCAGCCTTCCAAGTAGCTGGGATTACAGGCGCCCGCTACCACACCCAGCTAATTTTTGTGTTTTTAGTAGAGGTGGAGATTCACCGTGTTGGCCAGGCTGGTCTTAGACTCTTGACCTCAGGTGATCCACCTGCATCAGCCTCCCAAAGTGTTGGGATTGCAGGTGTGAGCCATCGCGCCCTGCTGGTCTGTTTTATTTTTGTACTACTCCATATTACTTTTCTCCCCACATCTCTAGTGATCATCAAGAGAATCCCAGTCATCATGTAATTTCATTGATAAATATTTCAATATGTAACTCTAAAAGAGAATACAAGTTATTTGCATTCCCTGTGAGTACTAGCTTTGTTGTGGAGAGGAAGTTCATGAGTGCTTGGAAACAGGCCTGTCATTGCATTTTATTGTAGTTAATTTGCATTTAGAAAGATCAAGAGTTTATATTATTTGAGTATTATTACAGTAAATCTCAAAGGATTTGAAATGTTGAATCTGTAACATCTATGAAAACATGAATTACCATCATGTATATGCATGAAGTTACATGACAGTCCTCATTTCAGAGCTAGCCTACAATTTGCTTTGTCATTTATTTGTTTGCTTATTTAAATGCTAATCATATAACATTTAGTTTCTGGTGATATTCTACATTCCTCTATATGTGTCATAAAAAGAAAAAGAAAGGTGAGGGAGAAGGGAGAAAGAGAGAGAGGAGAAAGGAAAGAAAGGAGGCATGGAGAGAGGAAGGGAATATGGGACTGAGAAAAGAGAAAGATCAGATCACAGATGAGATGCCAAATTGTGCAGATAAAAATTCACCCTTTGTCTCAGTCACCCAACCTCTCTCTCCGTCCTTTCTGTCCCCTTTCCTTGGTCACCTCATTGGTTTATATTTTCTCTTGGCATTTACTAAACTTTGCCTGTCACATTTAGGATCAGGAAGATTGATTTTTTTTTTTTTTTTCCCTAAAAGGGTGATTTTTTTTTTCCCCCTAAAAGGGTGTTTTTATTATGTAGGAGGGTGAGATAAAACTTAAACAAAATACTTTAGGACTAATTTGTTGTGCTGTATGTGCTTTTATGCAGATTTTTAAGAATGTTTATTGAAAGGAATTCCCAAATAGGTACCTCCTATGGGGTAGGTTGAACCTTTCTATATTCTGGATGAATTGTATGGACACATTAATTTTCTATAATAAATCTTCAGGTTCACTTTAAGTGCATTTACTGGAAAATTGTGTAATAATTTTTTCCTTTTCTCTGTGTTCCTTTTTGCTATCTGTTCACTGGATGAAATGGATTCTGTTCAAATTTGACTCCACAGTTCACAAGATTCCTTTGCACTTCACCTTTAGAGGTAAGAGTTACTCACTGACCTTAATAATTAGAATTGGCAATTGAAAACCATTACTGATACCTTTCATTAGGCATTTATTTGATAACTTAGGAGTGGTCATTTTTGTGTGATCAAAATGACAGAATTACTCTAGGTTTTTTTTTTGGATCAAAGTTTCTAGAAGTTATATTAATAGCAATTCGCCTTCATGACAGGTTATTTCCTCTTTTTAAGTACTCTTTCTCAATAAATAGAGAGAAATCGGTCCTTCATTTTAAAGAGCCTTTTTATATCTTCCTTACTCCCATGAATGTTTATTTAACTGCCACCTTATGTTCTATAAATTGTCATGATATTAAAAGAGAGCTGGAAAAATTAGAGATCTTCAAGGAAGTTTCAGTTAGACAGCTTGAAAATCTGTGAATTAATAAGGGAAGAGCAAAGTTATTAAGCTGGTGTTATAACAAGGCAGTATTCTGGGTTCTTCATTCACTTTTTCATTTACCTTATCATGGTTTTCAGTATAGAACTGAGAATCCAGTGATAAAATTTTGAGAGATAAAGAAAACTATTAGATGTTTAGAGACCTAGATATCATTATGAGCTGCAGTTGCAGAAAAACTTGTAGATGATCATCGAGACTTGGAAAAGGAAGTAGAGAAAGGGTGGAAGCAGAGTACGTGAAGAGATGGTGGGACTTAGAACCAAAACTGGGTGAGAGCTGCCTTTACTTACTAGCCATATGACATTGGGTAAAGCACAGCTTCAACTTCCCTGAGCCTCATTTTTCTTATCTTTTAAATGCAAGTAATAATTCCTACCTCTCATGGTAATGGAAATGGGAGCAGTTATAAACTCTGCTAGGCACATCGTGGCACTATTTTGTGTTCTCTTAGGCTTCAGCCCGACGTGATGAGACTCTGTTCCTTGCCTTTTGTTTGTCCTTCCCTTTTTGCTTATTGTTTATTTCATTTTATGCTTTTCCTATTCCCAGCTTGTTCAAATCATACTCCTCTGGGGTTGAGCCTCAATCCTGTGTCCTTTCTGAGACCATTTCTGCTTTTATAACATATTGTTCATTATGTGGCCCACACTGGCACATTGCACAAAGTGTGGTAGCCAGCTTGAGTGGTCACTAGGAGCAATGGATCAGACCAGATAGGGTTGTCCCATCTAGGTTTGGTCACATTGTCTAGGTATCCAGGATCAAGGGGAAAGCAGAGTGGTACAGTGGAAAGAGCCTGGGCTTTGCAATGAGAGGCCCAAGCAGCCCATGGGTCAGCCATTGACTCCTGAGCTCTTTTTTTAATCTAAAAATGGAGATAATAATACTAACATGGATACTGGAATTAGATGAGGTGACCTATGGCAAACACTGAGCACAGTGCTTGGCAGATAGAATTTTAATTAAGCGTTAGACATAAAGTGAAAACGAAACCATAAAAAAGTTGAAGACAATATAAGTTTTATAGCCTGCTCTGTAGTTATGGAAGTTCTTTCTAACTTCAAAGCAATGGAAAGTATCAAAATACAAAGGGTGAAAAAATTAACTAGATTATGTAAAGATCCATAATTTTTCACATGAAAACAAATGTAGCTAAAAGGTAATTTGGGTAAAGTATGATGAAAGGGTTATACTTAATGTAATGATCTTTTAGAATCAATTAAAAATACTAATTTCTTTTGCATACAGTTTTGTTGGATTTTTATCAGGTAATTGACAAGATAAAATGCAAATGGTAATAAATATGTTTTAAATGATAGTCCTATTAGTAATAAATGTAGTTTAAAATGACAATGAGCTACAATTTTTTTGATCCTATCCCAATATCTTATTTTCTAAGTGAATGCTTGACGAGATATTATAAGATGGGATGTTTATAAACTTCATCCCTATGTTATAGGAAGCAGCTTGGTTACATACGTTAAAGGTTTTGTATACATTCATACCTGTGGTTGAGTAATTTTATTCCAAGAATCACTGTCAGAGAGATAGTCAAAGATGAGGACAAAACTTGCATAAAAATGTTTATTACAGCATTATTTATAATGCTTAAAATTTGTAAATAATCTAAATGTGGAACAGGTCAAATAAATTATGACACAGCCATATAATAGAACACCCTACAGCCATTAAAATAGAGATTATGAATATGTGCTCATGAGTATATATTGATAAATAACATCTAAAACAGATTTGATATATTGAGAGGTAAAAGCAGGGTGCAAAATTATATATGCAGATCTCAGTTTAAAAACAATTCAAGTGCACAGAAAAGTAGAAAGGAGATGCACAAAATGTTAACAACTACAAAGTGTTAAGGGTTTTTGTCCTTTACTCACCCAGTAAAGGGCCACAGTGGGTAGAGGTACATTGGTAGCTTTTTGGTAATGTTTCTTGTAGTCAGTGTTTAACAGGTATACATCAGGGGAGTCTCTTTGATTTGATGTGGAAACTGTCTAACCTTGGAAAAAAGGAGCTGGCAGGAACTTAGATGAGATAATGTGGTTGATGTGTAACGCTGGCCTCTCATGTTAGCAAAAGCTTAGAGGAATGAACAGAAATAAGGGTTTTTAGCAGAAGGCAATTAGCCTGGGTTGGGTTCCCTACACAGGGACCAAATAAGGAGGCTCGAGCGTGATGTCCACTTCACTGGGGCAAGTAGCAATTTGAGACTGTTATTAACGAGTGACAAAGATGCTTCTCAATAAATCTTACCAGTTGACGTCTCTCAAGTGAAAGCTCATTGAGAGAGGACCCTGTTTTTCTTGTGTTCCCGTTCTTCATATAAGTAGAACATAGTCCTCCTACAATCTCAGAATACTTTGAGGCCCCTTTTACTATCTCTGATGGAATCTATGGTTCAACAGGCACTGAGTCAGTAAATATTTGTTGAATGAATGAATGAACAGATGAATGAATGAATTTGGTGGGGCCGACACTGAGAGCAGCAGTCTTTTATCCATAATTTGGCAGGTTTTAGCTAGAAGTAGACAAGTTCCAATATTTATATATATTTTTTCTCTCTTTTTTCATGTGCTTCACCTTAGTCATGGGCAGGGGACCAATATTTATATTTTAGTATGGTTAAGGGTCTGTCTTCCCAGTTAGATTGTAGCTACTTAAGATTGAGAGCTTTGTCCTTTTTAATCTTTGGATGCTCTCGGTTATAGATGGGGCTCAGAGTGTACCTAGAGTAAACCAGCTGCACCTAGAGTATATAGAGTATATGAAAATACACACACACACACATTTTTGAGACTCTGTCACCCAGGCTGGAGTGTAGTGGCACTTTCTCAGCTCACTGCAACCTCCACCTTCCAGTTGAAATGATTCTGTTGTTTCAGCCTCCCAAGTAGCTGGATAACAGGTGCCTGCCATCATGCCCGGCTAATCTTTGTATTTTTAGTAGAGATGGGGTTTCACCACGTTGGCCAGGCTGGTCTCAAACTCCTGACCTGAAGTGATCCACTCCCCTTGTCCTCCCAAAGTACTGGGATTACAGGTGTGAGCCACTACACCTAGCCACAAATATATACTTTTAAATTACATATTACTGCTCTGGTTAAGTATTGGGAATATATGTGTGGAAGCTTCAATCTTTGGTGAAAATCAAAAGGGAAAGTATCTAGAGTTTAATGACAGTTTCTGTCCTTTTCTGTCTGTTTCTATCACTTAGTGATCTGGAGTGATGTTTTGCCTTGGCTAAATGTCTTTTTTATTACTGCGTTTATGACGTTGGAGAGGAAGAGAAATCAAAATTAAAGATGACCAATGTAACTCACTTTACTTGATGGGAAATAAACTGAAGGCTTTCTGTTATTTTCTGGTTTGGAATTCCACAGGGGCCACTTGAGGGCTTAGTTAGTGGCAGCTGCCCCCGAGTCTCCACCAGCAGCACCAATTGGGGGCCGTTGTTCCTTTGCTACCACATAGCACCTGAGAGCCAAAGCAAATCCAAGGCAGGAGAGTGTTGGGATTCTCTAGATGTTTAATTTTGCCATTAAGCTTATGATTTAGCTGGAGAAGGAAAATTACAAATATGGTCTATACCCTGCACCTTCTTTAATTTTGAATAAAAGTCAAATTATTCGGGCAGAGACAATAAAATACACGAGACTTACAGTTGAAAGCTGACTTTAAACTTCACTTTCTCCACAATGATTACTATGAATGAACCATGTCCCTTTGTTGTAAGTCCTAAACAGTTAACTGCCACATGAATCTAATGAAATTGTCAGGTTGTAGTAATTACATCAGTAATTTGATATGTTGTCATTTGAATGGACCATGTGTGGAGAGTCAGTTACTTCCCTCTGTGGGGCTGACCCTTTTACATTCCTGTAAGCTGAAGACTAATAGAGCTCATTAAGCTTTATGGGAAAAGAGCTTTTATCACCTCGTCAAGTCAGGCAGCATATTTCCATTAGATCCCTAATTTCATGTGGCTCTGTAGCTGCTGATATGTACTCCCCTGCTAGGCTTACACCGGACCCGGCCTAACCGACATTTTTATTGACATTTCTAAGTCTGAATTACATTTTGTGTGGCACCACTTACAGATGTCTTCAATTAAATGTAGGTAAATAAAAGGTATTATATATCAGAGCCCGAAAGATTCTTGAATTTCTCTTCTGAGTCAAACTTTGCCAGCCAGTCCAGTAAGGCACAGTCTCACTGTCACTTGTGGAGGTAGAAAGCTATAGGAGAGGCATTTATAACAGAAATTAAACCTGGTGTGAATGTAGGTCACCTAGGTTTCTCTTCAGGTGTGTCATTCTGTTCCTTCATTTCAGATCAATTAAATTTTTCTGTATTAATAGGATAATAACTTTCTGAGACATTAGCACCTCTGGTATACAGGTACTGTGCTTAGCACTTTCCTTATTTTAATTATTACAGAATGTCAATGAGGTAGATATTTCCAATTTTCTTATGAAGAAAATTGAACCCAGAGAGGTAGATTAGGTAGGTGCTCAATATCACATCTGGTATGTGACAATAATCGCAAGCTAGGAAG